TCTTAATAAAATGAGTAGAACGGCTAAGGAAACACTCTTGTATACAGTAACAACAACGAACACCAAAGAAAGTGAAATGCGTAGTTTGGTAGGAAATTAGAGGGTTGCAACTTCGCCAGGGAATGTACATAAATACTTCTATGAAATGCCTGTACATACGAGGTGTGTACAGAAAGTAACGAGAATTTTTAAATTTCACGGGCTTGGACATTATTTTTATATTAGTATCGACTATGCCTTCCTTCTTCTTAACTCGGCAATTTTCGTTTGTTAAAAGAAATGGATCAAAGCTTCTTTATAAAATTTTGCATTAAAATGAAATAAAATGTAACAAAGCATGTTAAAAGTTAATAAAGCTCTATGGTGGATCAGCTATGAGTAAAGCAAGAGCTTGAGAACGGTATAAGCGTTTCCCAGAAGGTCGTAAAGATACTGAAGATGACGAATGCCCGAACGAAACATCACATCTACTAAAGCGTTGCATATCCTTTTAACGTAAGCTTCGAAAGATCAGAGTTCTATCTGTTTTCTACCTTCAGTGTTTGTCGTATAAGTAACGTAGTGGTGGGTTGACCTCAATCCCACATTGTAACAGCTGAAGTTATTATCGGCTTCCTTCCCCACGGTGCGCGCTTTGATGTTTTTCCAACAAATAGAGAGACCTTCAATTAATACTAAAGCGCCTCCGAGCGGTGGTTTTTTTTTTATGAGGAACCCTTATTTTATGTGAGAAATACACTCACAGGACTTGACATTACCTTCCGAAGGACGACCGCAATTAAAAAAATCATTTTAGTTTTTAATAGTTTCTGAATGTTGGTCGGACCAGAACAGGAAATTTGGCTTTCTGAATTGCAATATACACTGTTAAACACTCGTCTATCGAAAGATTGCTCTCAACCAACCTAGATGCTGAGAACACTTGGTTTGTTTTATGAAACACACGAGATTATTGACATTTGCTAATGCAATATCTGTAAGGTAGTCAAAGTAGAAATTACTGAGGAAACATTGTCGGGACGCATTTAAGGCAGGGCAGTGGCAATTATAGTGCTCTATGGAACACTTCTCGTCTATGTCTCTGCAGCGACGATAGAAATCATTGGAGGAGTAACCCTGGAATACTAATTGAACAGTGTGCGGTTATTATGTCGGTTGTTATACACGTGGAGATTCTGTTTAGAATACCTGAACTACCTGGTTTCACACTGACATCTGATATTGGCTTTGCTAATGAAGGCCGATCGTAGCAGGTACTTTGCAGAGGATAAAGCTATGACTACGCAGTGTGCAGAGTTTACAGTGGTTTGGATTGTTCCCCTTCTTGTTATCTCATCGGCTTCAAAATTTTCTGGGATGTATACCCGGGTATCCACGTTGCGGTCGTTTCGTATACAGTCGAGTGTTTGGTTTGAGTAGGTGTAGTTACAATGAAGAGACTTAATGCCAGCTTGACTCTCCGAATATATTGTAATAAGTATAGATATTAGACTAAAGATGAGTAATCATAAAATGGCTACCAATATTGCAGTTAGTTCAGCTTCAAGTGGCTGAGAGTGAACTCCGCAACTCACCCTGTCATTGTGTTTTTTGTCCATCAGTGAAGCAGGATACGAATATTTGAACCAGAACTGTTACGTTAACCCATTCACAACTTGCTGGAATTTTTGTTTAGAAGATGTTGTTAAAACATAGTACAAATGTAGTCCACCTCTTCCGGGAATGGTGTAGAATTTAATATTTGGACGTGCACTGTGTGGTCTCTCATTGGTTGAATTGCGCAGTGGCGTTGCAGCACGCCTGTAATATCCCAGTCAGGCCCGTGAGGACAAAACTAGGGAGAATTACCAGTGTTTTTGTAAGAGTTACGGGCAGCGCTCCTGTAAAGACTACAGCCATAAAATGTATCTCTGAGGGAACTAAAGTCTATCTCAAAGATCGAGTTTGGCGAGTTTGTTGGAGATTGAAAGAAGCGCAGGCACAAGTGCAAACTCTCTAATGCGGACCACATTGAAGGCAATCTATATACTCGTATAGTTAACGCTTTGTTTAAAAAAAAGAAGAAAATTCAATAAATTTTTTTGACACACCTCGTACATATGTATGTATATGTTTCGTGCTCTACTCGCCGCACTTAGACTACCTGTCTTGAAATTCGAAATTATTGAGTTACGCCGCTGTATGTATAAAAGGAATTGATTTAATTGACGTGCAGGAAATGACAGGTTCTCATATGCGTACATACATATGTACACGTATGTATGTATATTGGTTTTGATTTTATTTCTTTATTAAAACTAAAGAAAGAATTGCAGATATCGAGGAGACAGGTATTTTTATAGATTTGAAAAAAAAAATTATAATTGTGCATTATTATGCATTTCTCCTATGTTCCCTACAAATATATACACTAATACTTATACATATCTATTTATATAAACATGTATGCGTGGGTGTGGTAATGATTTTGAGCTTGTCCTCAAACACTGGGTTTTGTATGTATTAAAAATGAAGACTTTTGGAACTCATGTGTTGGATATACAGAAATTACAAAATCAAATTAAAAATGATTTGTGAAATCTCCAGCAACGTAAAAGATTTTCCATGGCCACATTTCGGCTTTCCCGTTCGGTGACTTATAAATTACTGGAACTATGATGTAGAGACTCCAGCCCAATTTACTTCTACGTTGATGCTTTAAGTTCAAGCAACGCCACAAGGTGTGCACTAGGGCTGTACCTTACTGCCTTTCAGAGTTCTCAAAGGGTAAGAGCTGCCAACCACTTCGGCAGGCTCATCAAGTACTTCGGCTGAGAGAACCGAGTTCTACTCCAAAGCATTTAAGCGAATTTTTCTTGAATATAGTTCATACTTTATCCTAATCCGGATTGCTTGATTTTAGAAAAGTTCGAAAGGGGCACAGATGGTTCCACCCCATCGTCGTACGGCATGTTCGGGCAGATAGCAGCTAGATCTCTCTGGCATTATTTTATGTGATGATTATTGCAAAGTGTATTTAATAAAATATGCTTCTGTTTTACCTATGCTATCAGCTATCATCGCAGTATATAGCTCCTGTATTGTTGAAGAGCAAACAACAAGTTGACGGAAGCCGACTTACAATAGATGAAGTGTCTTTAGACCCCAAAAGACTCAGTTCTCTCCACTGCGGCTGAAAGTTGAAGACCATTCACCCCAGCCTTGAACCTTAAGTACTACGTCGCCAAAGCTAATAATTTTTTCCAATAATAGATGGGTCCAGTTGCAAGCTATACCTTTTCCAATAAAAAAAAAATCAAAATCGAAATGCTGTATTAGAGCCATTAATTTAAAACATGGTTTTTCTTAGATAAAACGTTCGTTTAGGACACACAGGCTGACTTTTAGGGCTTTGTAGTGCAAGATGGAAGCTTTTTGCGAAATCCAAGAGCGCTTTGATACTTTATACGCATGTCATGTCATTAGATTGTGGCATGCCACAACGTGAAGTGTATGGTCTAAAAGTCGGATTTAAGACTAATTTTTTGGTCTTTAATTAAATCCTCAATATTGTGGCATATAAGTGGGTTTTGCTATTCCATTCTGTGCGTCGATCCAATTTTCAATTTTGCTGCCCACTATGGCTGCAATGACGACCTCAATTTCGTATTTGAAGTTATGAATCGTGCCCTGCTTAGCTCATGCCCTTAACATCTCTCGACTTCGCCTTTAAGGCTAATTATGTGATGACAGCCACAACAGCCGACAAGTGATAATACCATTCTGAAAACCAGGGCTCGAATCTTGGCTCCGACAATATTCAAAATGAGGGACAATTCATAAAAATCTATAGGTTAGTGCGAGGCGGCTCGGTATAAATCTTGCGTTCTTCCATTTGTTGAAAAAACTTCAAGACCCATAGCAGAATTTGGAAGAGAGTTTGTAACATTTGCTATGGGCACGTAGCGCCGTCTTGTTGAAACCACACTTCATTCTTGTTGTTCCTTTCAACATTTGACAACTGATCGGTAGATCCATCTTTGTTTTCGAAGGATTCACTACCGCTTCCTAGATTACGTGTGAGCTTTCGGACCACAAATTCTTATTAACGTAGCCGGCGACGTGAAAATGAGCTACCAGGGAAAATATGATTTTTCAATAAAACTGTTCGTCTTCTGTTCCGCGATCTTGAGCACATAGAGTGACGCGAAATCGTAAGGAATATAATGGTATTTTGGTTTTTGGACCAATTGAACTTCATCAGTTTTTATACCGAGGTCTTTATGTAAAATTCTACGAACGGCGTCGAGTTACTATTGATGGCTGTTCGTGCACACCTTGAGCTACAGCGACAATATTTCCCTCTGAATGCACGGTACTAGCAGTTGTTTGGACCGCTAATGAACCGGTTTCGCGGACTCGATTGCCGAGTTATTCGCAGTTGCGGTGGAAGATCTAGCATTTAGGATGAAAATTTCCAATCCTTCTCAATTTTCTTCAAGCGTAAACTTAACCATTTTGTAAATCGAAAACCTTGTCACGAATAGTTGACTCATTGGGAATGCCGCTGAAAATTGTGAAAGCTCAAATAAGCAGTAGTTCAAAAAGCAAACGGTAGATGGCCGATAGGAATAAGTTTATATGATTTTTCTTCCTATTCACACGCAACACCGTCGCAAGGAGTCCATCTGCTAAACGATTCGGAAGTTTACGTTTAAAAATTAAGCTTTTTGAGCTTACACTAAAAGCGTTTTCTGATCTCATCAGAGAACTTTTGTGGTAAAGCTCTTTATTTTAAGATATCCAAGAGAAGATTTTTGAGCGAAAAAAATTTGGAAGGAGTGCGGGCTTTTACCGCAGTCCCACGAAATAAAAAATTTCTCCATATTAAGTTTTCCATTGGCTAAATAATAAAAAGCATTTTTGTATTTGCATTTTTCATTATGCATTTTGTATATTTAATTTTTTACTATCTTATACTAAATTTTTTGAAAATTTTTTCACTAATTCAACTATTATGTTATAAACCTAATACTAATGTTTAACAATTGTTGGAAATCACATCGACGAAATGCAAATGCTGCAGGCACTGGAAATGTAGCCAATTGCAAATGCCTCGCTTCTAGTTTAAAGCTTTTTGTTGGGCAACAACTGAGTTGTTTGGTGTTGCCGAGTATATGGTTTGACGGCAGCAGGTAACTCACGTCTGCGCGCCTGGAAGACTTCATCACTGACTGCGTATACTTGTAGTTAATTACTTGTACTTGAAGGTATGCAGCCTACCAAGGACGCCAGACATCCTCCTCCTCAGACGGAGCCACATTCGTGGCAAGCCGCGCATCGATGGGCGAATGATCTGAGTAGGTGGTAAGAAGATTTTGGCTCCCACAGCTGCTACTATGCTTCTCACTGCTGGTGCTCGAATTGGGGCTACCATTGTAGCTGGAGATGGGCGAAATGGGCACAGAGTAATGTGCGCGTGCAGTGTTATGTGTAATGTGTACGGATAGTGGCGCGTTGATGGGTGTTGGTGGTTGCACGGCGGGCTGCAATTGATTTAAACGCTGGCCAAGATGAGTCATCAGCTGTGTGCCTAGATTCACATTCACATCGGGCAACTGTGACAGAGAACGCGAGACTTCATTGACTGCATGTATATAGCCGGAGCGGAAGCCTTCAGCTTGTGACATGGCGCCACCCTTAGACGCGGCCGCCTTACGTTGTTGTTTCAGCTTTTGTAAATGGGCAACAGTAAGCTCTAGAATATCAGCCTTCTCCAGTCGCGTTACATGCTCGCCCTCCGACTCCAATGTGACAACCATTAAGTCTTTCAGCTCGTCCAGACACTTGTTGATGCGTGCGCGTCGCTTACGCTCCAACATTGGCTTCATCACTTTACGATATTGGTATGTCTTAGACATTTCGGATACTTGGATGGACATTTTATTACGCTTTCCTTCTTTCTTTGTTGCGTTTGCTATTTAGTAGTAATCTCCAGTGTGTCTTTCACTGTCAAGTGCTTGTGGTGGAATGTATGATTCCTTCGTTAGTTTGCACACTTTTATACCCAGCCGCCGTGTGCAGGAATGTGAGAATGAGTGCTGTACAGCTGAGAGCAACCCTCTATAAATTTTATTTTCGTTTTTTTTTTTTTTTTTTTTTGTAAAGACACGCAAGCGGCAGTATCAGAATGTGCTCTTACGCTACCACAGAATGGAGAGTATAAAGAGCTTGGTGCGTCGGAGAGTCATGCTCGTCCTTGCCGTATATGCGTGTTGTGCGCTTGCCATGTTCGATAACGTAGAAATCAACCCTCAATTTACTTATCCGGCATTTCAACGCTTGTGTGCCCCTCGCCTCACTACCTTCTCCCCACTGCTTGTGCTACCTTTGACCATTCCTTTGCATGTTTACGATGTTTGTGTCTGGGCAAGTCACCCCTTGTCATTTGTTTGTGCATTCGAACGCTTGCTCAGTTGCCTCGTTTATAGGGGAGGAAATCAAATTTCAATGCACGAGAAGATGTAAAGGATCTTTGATCGCTCCAAACCGTGGGAACTACGTTCCTTGTAGGTTTCTCACACATCGTATGAGTGAGCTCACCTGCGTATGCAGCCAGAAGACAGCCGGACAATATGCCAGTCAGTCAGTCAGCCATCAGGCGAATAGAAGTATAAGGACAAGAAGGATAAGGGCGCACACAAACACCCTTAAGAACCATGAAGGTATGTTGTCGAGCTGCCAGCCGGGTCTTGTCGGGTGTTAAGCAACTAAGCATGGGAATTTTGCAATCTGGTCGTCCGTTATGAACGTCGTAAACGGCTGTGAAGGGCTGAAGGGTGGCTGGCGTGTATCGGCTTGAGCTGAGTTGTGTTGAGTTGCACTGTAATGAGTCGCATCGTCGCAGCTGTGTTGTGCTACCGCCGTTTACAATTTCTTTGATTCCGATTGCAGTCTCTACTTGTGTACGTGTATGTGTGTGCGTATGTGTGTGTGTAATGATCCTTAATCGCTGTATCCTGTTGCACGCAAGTGGTTGCTCTAGTAATAAGAATGAAAAAAGTGATTATAATTGAAAAGATATCAACGAACTGTAATGGAAAATAAAAGGCGAAGAAAGCGAAGTGAGACAGGGAATTCCTTTAAAGTGTACAACAGTTGCTTTTGTTGTTGGTAATTATGTTAAATTTTTTGTGCAGTACTACTGTTTTTTTTCCGTTTCGTCAGCATGCGTAATGGAATCAATCGTAATGTGGGAAAGCGTTCCCACGGTTTGAACGGCAACAGCAACGGGTCGGGTGGGGTCGTTAACATTAACTCGTCGTCGCCGTCGCCGTCGCTGTCGTGAGCACATAGCAGTAGCCAGTCAAGAAAGTGAAAAGGTGTGTGACGTGGTTGTTGGCGTGACGTGACGTTCATGGTTGCTCCCGTTCGTGTTGGTAGTGGTTGCACTAGTGATTGGTAGGGAAATGTGAATATGGGTATCATAACGACTTCCTGTCAATTGGGCGCTTTGTCTCATCGCCAGTTTACGGCATTAATTCTCATTCACGTTTCTTGTGCGGCTTTTTTTTTTTGGTGCTTTTTTCTTGTATCGCTATTCACATACTTCTGTTGGTGGACTTTGTGCACGCGAGCGCACTTGTTTTCTCGAGACGTACTTACTCGTATGTTTGTAAATATATACTAGTATGTGCGTACGCTCATAGTTGTTTTGCTGCGCGTACGCGTTGAATGGTCGTGTGTATTGCGCATGCGCAACCGACTTCATTGCCGTTCACGTTGACGGTGGCTTTACTTTTGGTGGTATTGTAGTGATTTTTCAATTAAAATGCAAATACAATTACTTACGGCAATAAGGCGAGTTAAAAGTGAGCTTGGCGCTTACGACGCGCACCTTTGAAGTTTTGACCTTACATATACATAGTTAGTTAAACACGTGTATGATATTTTACATATTGTACGTACATATTTGGCAAAAAAAACATTGCCTAAATGTTTTCAACTCGCCATGCTAGTCTCATATAGTATGCGCCCCAGAACGCAAGGCAACACCGGACTACTTGGCAAGGATTGTTTCCAGCTATCCGACCGATGGACTGTTAATATAAGCTACTGTTGATGGATCGAGAAAATATGCGGTAATGGTAGGAGCACCACAAGATTCCGTGCTGGCAGCTCTGCTGTGGAACGTACTAATTTACAAAGTCCGGTGCCTTCTACTACCGAGAGAAGTTCAGATCATCGGTTGCGGAGATGATGTTGCAGTAGCCGTACTGGCACAGACATTCGACCAAATTGAGAGCCTAAGTAATTAAGTAATTAAGTGGCAGTCTAAAATTTGTGGGAAAAAAACCGAAACACAAGCGCGAAGAATCTTGAAGACATTGCGATAAATACCGACGTTTATGGCATCACAACACAAAAGCCGCTGATATAAAGCGGCACGTGTAGCCGCTGCGCTGACAAGGATATTGACCAATACTGGAGAAGCAAGCCAGAATATGTGAGCGCTATTGTCCAAGGTGTTTATATGGGTGCCAGCCTTGCAGCATTAAATATGTGCTAAGAAAGCGAAGTTGGTAATTCGGCCCAGTGCCATGAGTGCTATTAGGATCTCTTCTACATATCGCATGGTATCGGTATCATAGCGAGCATCATCCCACTGGACATAATGACCATGGAACGCAAAAGAATATGCAAAAAAATTAAGATTATGAGCAGATGACTAGCGAGGAGCGGAAGTACAAAAAGCACAAAGCAACACTGGGTAGATGGACCCGTCGGGTTATTGGAAGCGTGCAAGCGTTGGAAGGGAGGAAATAATGTGAAATTTACTTTTACCTAACACAATTTTTGATGGGGTACGAGTGCTACAGAGAATATCCCTAGAAATATAGCCATGATGGGGAGATGAGTTGTTCTTTCTGTGTCAGTAGCGGAGAAAACACGTTAACTTTTTATGATGCTTTACAACAAATAGAGGTACCTACAGTTTATACTAAGCAGCCCCCGAACGGCTGATGTTTTTTTATGAGGAGTAAACTTAATTTCTTTTTAATTAATTTTCTAAAATTTTTTCATTTTTTTGGAGCTTGTTTTCCATGTGGGGGGTCACATACACCACGCATAACCGCATGGGATTTGCCTTCTCACTTTAGCTCGCCTCCAAGCGGATGTTTATTGGATAGCCAGGGTATATTTGATCTAAGACCGAAAGTCGTGAGCCGCTTGAACCATATGCAAAAGAATCGTTTCTTGCCACTTCCATGTAAATGGCGGTCAAAAACTTTCCATCAACCAATCAGAACCGTCGAAAATGTAATGCAGACGTCCTAGCTGCCGAGCGGCTGCTCTTTAAATTGCTATAACTCAAAAACTATTTGAGATATTGATTGGAAATTCTAATATGTTATTTTTAAAGGTGTAATCCACATAAATATGAAAACAGGTTGATTTCTTTGAAATTTCACACTAAGTGTGCCTCTTAAGCAAAATACATAGCTTGGATATATTGTATAATATAATTTGAATATCAGAAATATAACAGTAAACTGAAAAACAAAAACAAATAAATTTCGCAATACAGAAAATTTCTCGTGGACAGACTTGTACAGAATAACCCGAAGCAAGGACGAAGCGATTAAGGTGACAATAAACATTTTAACGGTATTCAGCATAAGGCCTTGTAAAAATGTTGGAAACCTAACAACATCTAAAAGATAATAATTTTTCGATCACCTTGAAGTACCTTGTCGGACCGCAATACAGAAATTGGCGAAAAGATGAAGCTGTTGGTATAAAATAACGGTAATAAGAATAAAACACGTCCAAGTCGCATGCTGCTATAGTACAAAGTGTTGAAGAAATCCCATTCCTCGTCGTACCTTGGAATTTGGCATTCCACAAACGCCATTACACCATATTTTGCATAAAGACTTGGGTCTTATGACTTATAACATTCAGTTAACCCAAGAGCTCATGCCAGCCGAACATCAAGGTCGTGTCTTTGCTGTTTGCGTTCTTGAAATGCATCAAAATTATTCAGAATTTCATCGGAAAATCAGCTTGACTAATGAGGCCCGATTTCCACTTCGATAGCTACGTCAATAAGTAAAACTATTGCTTCCGGAGCGCGGAAAACCCAAGGTTTAATGTTGAAAAGCCTCTCCATTCCCACCGTGGAACTAGTTGTTGCAGGTTTATATTGCGGCGGGGTCATTAAAGCTTACCTTCTTCGAAAATGAATGAATTGCCTTATCAGGAGAGGAGATTAATAATTTTTTATGGCACGTTTACTTTCAACAAGACGACGCTACGTGTTCCACAAGATAAAAATTTTCGGATCGTATTATCTCTCGAAGAGGTGAACGCAATTGGCCAAAGAGGTCTTTTGATTTATCAACTTGCGACTTCTTCCTTTTTGTTCTACGTTAAAGCTAAGGTCTAAGCCAACAGGCCAATGTCGATACAAGACCTCAATTATAGCATTCGTGAAGCTATAGAGTACAAACAGCAAGCACTTTGCGATTCGATAAGGGATATTTTCATAAAAAGTATCGGTCATGTAAGCGTAGCTGTAACTGCCAGTTGGCTGATATTATTCTCCATTAATAATGTCATTATTCTTCGGATATCAAAATAAAACCTGTTATTGGAAAACTCCATATATATGCTTGCACAACGATTTCCACTTCATCCTTACCTATTTTAGGTTTTATCTTTAAACCATTGAATTGATTTAATCTTAATTTAAGACCGTGACATTAAAATGGCAATCAGGGGTTTTATAGAAATCAAAACAAAATTGCTTATTTATCGGAATTGAAAATCAATATCTGTTAGAAATGTTGTTATGAAACCAACTTGATTTTGCTCTTTTCGAAGATAAGTGAAATCGATATTCGAATCAGCTGTCATCATGCTTGTGCAAAAACTCAGTACAAAATCCACTTGTATTAACTCATTTTTAATTATCAGATATAAAATCTTCAGCAGTGTTAGCATTTTTGTTGATAAAAGAATTTGTAGAAAGAAGCCAGAAAATAAAGCACAAAATTGTAAGGAATAAGTGCAATCCGCTGTTGCTGCCAGAGTCGATATAAGTGCAAATTGCAGTCTACTTTTTTTTTGCTTTTAAAAAAAGTTTGCTTATAAAAAAAGTTGGTTTGTATGTAGACTCATAGACCAATAACGGCGTAACAAAGAAGCCTTTATAATAGCGCTGGATGTCATTGAAGACCAGTTAGACAGACTGTCTATCCCACATATGCTCCAACTTGCAGCCACTCTGCGGCTTTTGGCGGAAGGCTCCTATTAACGGTCTGTGGGACTCAAATGTCTCCTTAGCGTGACCTACAGTCTCTGTGGTTATAAGAGAAATGCTAAAGGCTTTTGTACGTTTGAATTGTCCACGCTGGATAGTTTTAGGACTGAACGAGAAGGGAAAACGGAAAGCTCGTGACAATTTTTAAAAACATCATGTAACGTATGCCAGGCATTGCTGGTTGTAAAATTCATTTTCCATGACTTAAAATTTTTATTAAATTTCCGCTGGCAAAGAAATTTAGCACACAACTCTGTCAACGAATAGCTTAGCGGTTTAATTTTGACCTTTAAACCAATAAAACGGTTTCTGTAACACCAAAAATGAAATCGATATGCAAATCAATAATCGGAATGTGTTACCCCTTCAACAGAATTTTGTGGATTTCAATTCTGATTCCGTTAAAAATCTGTTTCTGTAACACCCTTGAATAATTATAAAGATTATTTTTTTTTCTTACATATTTTATTTATTATGTAAATGAATATTTACAAATTTTAGAAGATATAATAAAGTAGACTTAAAAACATAGAACTTGGAATTTATGCAAAAAAAATGTTAGTAATATTTTAAAATAAGGCATTTTGTAAGATAATTTTAAAGCAATGTTACCAATAGTTTGTCAAAACGAAATGTACAAATATTTATTTTAAAGCTGAACAACTTACTTATATATTTACATACCTACATACAATAATAATGAACGAAATAAATTTGATTAAAACTGGAAGAAAGTTGAATAAATCAAATAGTATAAACTGGAAGCATTAAATCACTTAAAATTATTTACTAAAAAGCTAAATATCTGTTGATCTTACTTACATACATATATGTAAGGCCTTTTAAACTAATAAATTAGGAAGAACTCGTGGATATTTGGAGATCGGTTTACAAACAGACCAATCGATAACTGAGTCGTGTTGGCGGTTATCACAGGCAAATCACATTAACACTACGAAGCGCATGCATATCTACTTATAACAGTGAATTAACTACTACATTAATCAAATAATGACAATTTGTACTTACAAGAATAAAGCTGATGGGATATTGAGTATTGAGAACTTACTTAAGGTTACTTACTTCACTACATACCCTACTATCAAAATATTAAACTATTAAAGCCACTGGCTGTTGAACATTCATACATAAATATGTATATTTATATATCGTTGATGAATTACGCTGAAGCATTTCGCAAGCTGCACACGTGTATCTACTACCACGGACGCCACAAGCACTCACCTTCGCCTACGTTTTCGTTCTCCTCTTGGTGCATAGCATGCAGGCGTTGCCTACCACCGCTTAATTGTTGTTGAAATTGCTGCTGTTGCTGTTGCTGTTTCTGCTGCTGATGTTGTTGTTTTTGTTGTTGTTGTTGCTGTTGCTGCTGCTGTTGTTGTTGTTGTAGATAAGCGCGTCTCACGTGTTCCGCTTGCAATCTCTGCCCAATTGCTGTTGTTGCCATTGTTGGCGCTGTTGGCGCTGTACGCTTTACAACCTCTAAATTGAGCGCCTCCTCATTGTTGGCTGCCGTTAGTGGCGCCGCCGGCTGCTGCAAATCCTTAAGTTGATAACCCAAATGCTTCATAAGTTTCGTGCCGAATTTCACATCTAAGCCGGGCACTGTGGCAAACACGCGCGATACTTCATACGCAGCCTGCGTATAGCCGGCACGAAATTTCTCCACATTAATACCCGTTGTATCGCCGCTAGCGTTAGCTGCGTTTTGCTGTTGTTGTACAACACTCGCCGCAATTTCATGTTTATGTGTACGCAAATAATTCACAGTCAGCTCGAGTATGTCGGCCTTCTCCAGTTTGGCAATGTGCTCACCTTGCGCCTCCATCGTGTCGACAATGAGATCTTTTAGCTCGTCCAAGTACAGATTCATGCGCGCGCGCCGCTTGCGCTCCAAGAGTGGTTTTGTTACCTTACGGTAGTGTTGTGTTTTGGTCATGAAACGTTGTCCGTCCACAGCCATGTTGTTGTACGTGTATGTTGTGTGTGTTGAGGTAGAGCTTTTGGAAGTAGTGCGCGTGTATTACTGTTGATTCCTCAATGGTAGAGTCGCGAGCGTGTGTTTTAAGTTGTTGAACAAGTGTAAACGTTTTCAGTATCCGAGTGTAAAGCGAACGCCAAGCCAAGTGACGCGAACAAGTTTTCAGTTATATTTTTATTTTATTATTATTATTTTTCTTCACCGACATAGAAACGCGTTCGTTCGGCCGGTCTTCATTTGTTGGCGTAGCAAGTGTGCCAAGTGTTTATCGCACGGTAGCTGTTTGAGAAATGATGCCAACGCAAGGTATTGCGATCCTTTTGTAGCCTTCCATTCGCTCCACACACATACACACACACCTAGACTTCCTCTGGTGCTCGTGCACCTCAACTGAAAGTGTGTGCGCTTGTGTGTGTCGTCGTGCTGCTTTGCTTGTGCCACCCCTAAACCAACAGCAGCTTCGCACTTTTATTTGTGCTCTGTGTCCACAACCTGTTGTTCCGTGTTGTGTTTTGTCGCTCCCTCGCTTTTTGCGTTCCTTCGTAAAACTCGTCGCCGGCAGCAGTGATTCTTTCGTTTAGTGCACGATCAGTTCGGTTGGTATGCGAGCGCCAGACGTGCGTCTGCATTGTCTTAAGTGTAGCGCGTACCAGCAGCCCCAGTCTAGCCGCGCTGGTGGTTGATCATTCCTGCTCGCTGTGCTCTCGTGTGCTACCCACTGTGCTATGCACTCGTGTCACTGCTATTGGGCGAGCCTTCACATGTATGAGAAACGAAGAAAGTACACTGTAAAAATATATTACAATACAAAGTGAGACAAGGGTTTCAGAAAACTTTTAATTTACCTTTTCCGTTTTGCAATGCATGAATGTCTTCTTCTTCTTTACTGGTGTAGAACTGCTTACATGATTATAGCAAAGTTAATAACAACACGAGATAACTTTCTTCTTTTCGCTGCTTGACTTCAATTAAGAATACCAAGTGCACTTGGTTTTTCTCCAGCTGATCTTTCCAACAGGGTATATGTTTTCCTCTTCCTCTCCCTCCACTGACTGTAACTGCATCGAAAACTTTCAAAGCTGCCCAACTACTCACCATGCGCCAAGTCTTGGAAAATTGGTTCGACACACGCCACCTTCACGTGGATTTTAAAGCCGCCATCTAAACGTTGAGGCCGAATGATGAACGACATCAGATGGACCATCAGAATTGAGGAAGATGTTTCCTAGTCGTTCGATATTAAACGATGCTTCGGAAAAGAGGACGGTTTAACTGAAAGTACGAGCTATAGTTGCGTCGATCAACACCAACCTTAAAATAAGTCCCCTCTCAATATAGAAGTAATCTGGACAAACTCTCGACGAAATGCAACACTGCCGTGAATTGGGTACCCGGACACAGTGAAACCCCAGGCAACTGCATGGCAAACGAACTAACGAGAGAAGAAACCCTTATATCCACAATGCACACGATTCAGGTTTACCTCAGTCCACGGCAAAGCATGTACCTGGCATTTGTCAAGGAAACAGATTGTAGATGGCTAAATGAGATCACATCAGATTAAAATTAGACACAAAAAACCAAAACATCTTATTCTTCTAGATCAATCACAGAAAAAGAATGGGCTAGCAGTCTGTAGTCACAAAAAAAGGGGAAAAGCGTGACACAAGTTCCTCGGGAAATGCTTCATCGACTATCTCGCTGAAAGTTGGCAACCTTGTTGCTTTTGTAAGGTACACGAAATGATACAAACATTTGGGAAGGTGAAGATAAGAGTCTCATAGCAGTATCACAACTGGCCTACTGCCCTAAATGCGTTGGCCATTGACCAGCATTCGCATCAACTCAACTCAATTTAAGTATCCTCCAAACGAACAAAAATCTACCTTTACAAGTCGCCCATCATTCCTGATCTACTGTGTGGCTCTGAAGCGTGAACGATGAGTTGAGGTTTGAAGGGAAAGGTGTTGGGAAAATTTTTTGGACCTTTTCTGACATAGCTCAGCGGTTAAATGAAAGCGCCGTATCACCAACTTCTCTCGCTGTTTTAAATGGGCGTCGAACCACGGAAAGGAGAAACGACTAGTGCTTTATTGTTGGCTCAACCGTAAACGCGCAGGTAGTGTCTAGTGTTTGCCAGGAAGAAGAAGAAAAAATGTGGTAAAATTACATATTTTTAAAATAAGCTAACAATCTTTCACCGTGTATTATTCTTGCCGATACAATCAACTATAAAATGTAGAGCACCATACGCATACAGCACTCGTGCGTGATCTTGACGACCTTTACGAAACAAGTACAAGTACTTCGCCTCGTTGCTCTTTGCTCGCTCCCTCCACACTATGCGCACTGACTTCCCGCTTGCGTGCGACATACAACCAGCCAGCCAGCCAGTCAGTCAGCTAGCAATCAATCCACCACCGCCGCCGCGCAAACGTACAATGGTCACACGCTCGAGCTCGCTTCCCGATCACATTTTCTCTCGTTGCGTGTGCAATGCTTTCTTGCGTGCGTGCATCGGAAGGGATACGATCCATAATAATCATTTAGAATACATCACTTTAGTGCATTACCCGACGACCAAAGTGAGGCACAAAAGACAATGTCCGTGCTCAGTAATTTCGAATATTTAACTTGGTGTGTATGGGTATGTCTGTGCGCTTTATGATTCCAGCGGTGGTGGTTTTGTTGGTGGTATGAGCATCGTGATGATGATCGTCTCGGCGGTGGATGGTAGTAGAGTTTTTTATCTGTATGTTTTCATTTCCTGCCAACTCTGAAGAAGAGAAGAAATTGCGATATTTAAGAATATCGAAATCAACAACAACAATGACAATTGGAACAGCAAATACTGGGTGTCGTCGTCTTATAATGATCTTGATGATGAGCACGTTCATCATCAAAGTACTGTAAGATTTAATATCGCCCATTTAACTATGCAATTGCATACCGTATGTATATTTCTGCCCTATCTAAGTAACGGGTGGTCCACATAAGAGTTGTTTGTCAAATGTGCTCTAAAAGGAACTCATAAAAATGTTTCAGTGTTTTCGTCTTTAAAGAAATGCCTCAACATTCCGGCTTATAATCTAACAATACTTCATTTATATGGCGGCCGATGCTGGCCTTGCAGTGGCCCATTCTGTTCTGTAGGTGGACCCAAATTTTTCAACACTTTTTCGATTGTGTGTCCCTCTATGGCTGGCAGTGGCGTCTAGAATTTCGTGTTTCCTGCCAAAAAATCCCTTTTGGTTGGTTGACCTAGCCCTTAGACTAGCCGTTAACTTAGACTTAACGGTTATCTACATAGAATAGTCCAATGGAGTCAAATCGCAGCTGCAAGGCGGTCTTTTCACATCGCCGTTCTGGAAGGGGGCTAAAGATGGATTGCACATGCGGTACCAAGCAGTCACCTGTAGTGTATACATTAGCTTTTCCATGGTTCCTTGGTAGCCGTCGAGATGAAGGTAAACTTCATCGGAATGGATGATTTTTCGGTAAAAATGTTCATCGTCTGCCACTTGATTTTGAGGCCATTGAGCGAAGCGAGATCGCATCAGATTATTAAAGGCTCGCATTCTTGGACCACTGGACCTTAGAAGTCTTCGAATCGGGGCCTTTATGCAAAATTCTGTCCGACATATTCCGTTTCTGGAAACGGTTTCATGTTGATATTTAAGGCTCTTCAAACATACTTTTAGCTGTAATAAGCGTAATATTTTCCTCTGAACATACTAGACGAGCACGTACAAGAGTTGTTTTTCCCTTTGGTGAGCTCAAATTGATCTTCAAACTGTCTAGTGGGCCAATTATGTCGTTCGAATTCCGTGCTTAATTTGCGGCTGAAGACTCATCATTTTGGGTGTAAGTTAACGAGGTTTCTCAATTTTGTTGAATTATAAACCTAAGGTGGCCGCAGTAGCCGAGTGGTTAGCATGGCATACTGCCGTGCGGTAGACTCGGGTTCAAATCCTGGTGTCGTACTAAGAACCAAAAAGTTATAGAAAATTAATTTAAATAAAAAATTGTCTCTCGGCATGGAATGTCAATCCCTCCGAGTGCATTTCGAACACGAAATAAAGCCTCCTTAGAAAAAAGCCATCAGCCGTTCGGAGGCGACTTAGTACAAACTGTAGTTCCCTCAATTTGTTGGAGAAACATCAAGGCCCAAAACGACAAATTGAAAATCGACCGATCTTATACTGCATATTTGACATAACAAGAATGCAAACGTAAAATGTTCCACCCTTTATATATGCTCAACTGTTGGCATGCAAACATCTGTGCATACGCAGATCCTCATAGACTTACAAACATATGAACGACGCTTTGTTCGCTGCTGTCATTTGGTTAGGGTAGAGATCTCTTCCTTAAGGTGCATGTGTGTGCTAGGATCGTGAGAAACTTTTCTCCCTGCTTTCCCACCGTTCACACTGATCGCACTTGCACTCGCACTCTCTGCCTGATCGCTCGATTTGCCCCCTACACAGAAGTCACCTGCCACTCGGCAAACGCGCGCGCTTACAAGTACAACGCAAATACATATTTAAGTACATACATAAATACATGCATACCCGTATGTAAGTAGAGCAGCTCAATCTGGCTTGGGTTTGGTTTTGGCTTTGGCAAATACTCGCACATGCAGATTCTTATGTTCATACATACATACATACGTACCTATGATGTGCTGAGCTGTGCTGGTAGTTGTTGTATAGTGGTAACAGTGATGGCAGCGGTGTCGTTGGGCAGGTTCTCGAAATGCCCTTTGCATGCGTACAGGTTCTCATGGATTATTTTCCAGCTTGCTTTGCGGTGATTTTGTTACTGTTTTCTTCTTTTTTTTTTGGATTTATTTCTTGTTTGTTGGTCAACAGCTGTTGTGCATTTACCTTTTGCTGTTTACGTCCGTCCGTCCGTCTGTTGCCTGATTGATTTTTGTTTTGATGCGCTCATTCGCTGACCATTAACTTTGTCCGTACACCGAACGTTTAAGCGCCGTTACCTAATACGAGTGCATAGCACGATGTATGGAGCTGCAAGTGCGCTGTAATTTCAAGCGCCAAACATTTCATTCATAAGTTGCAACGTGAATGAAGTTTGTTAGTTTCTTCGAGTATTAATTACATTAAAAAAGTGTATTAAATTTACGTGAGCTACAAGCTGTGATTTTCGGCAGATGGTTCCCAAAGTACATTGAGTCATTGGAGTATCGGAACAATGCAAGCTTTTCCCACACATTAATGAATGAAAAGCATTTTTTCCTCACTTTTGGGAGGATACAAAAAAAAAATAATGCCAGCAGAAATATGCGTATTTTGCTACTTTATTGTTTACAAATTTTTCATTGAGAAAATTGCAAGCGACGAAAAAAATTTTTGGTACTTTTGGGGCAGTGCAGATGATGCGGCGGGAGTATGAAGTTAGCTTGTAGTATGTGGTGTACAACTTTCCTTCCGCCGTTTTTTTTCCAAAATTAAAAGCTTTATTGCGAAAAAGTGCTTACAGATATATTATTCAAAGTATTGTCCTTCGCTAGCGACAACTTTCTTCCATCTTTCCGGCAATTTTCGGATCCCGGCTCGAAAAAAGGAGTCTTCTTTTAAGGCTACCAATGAAGCAATCTATTTTTCCAAAGGATTGAAAATGTTGATCTGCCAGGCCGTGTGCCATCGAACGGAATAGGTGGAAGTCAGATGGGGCGACATCTGGGGAATACGGCGGGTGGGGCAAGACTTCCCATTTCAGCGTTTCCAGGTACTTTTTTAACCACTTTTGCGACGTGAGGC